TAATTCCTCAATTCTAGATTCCAAGACTCTTAAAGTTTTTTCTAGATTGTTCTTTAAAACCATTTTTGCGATTAAATTTTTCCAATAGTAAGGAAAATGTTCTATTCTTTATTTGTTAGAAAGAAATATAATGCAAAAAAGGGAGTTTTTAAATTTTTTTTTCAGCCTTCGGTTTAAATATTTTCAATATGTAATAAATTTCCATAAATACTCTAGTTTAATCGGATAATCAGTATTGGCACTTTCCAAATAAAGTTAACGGAATTTTCTGTTACTTATTAAGGGTATTATTGAAGATTGAATCGTTAATTTCCTCTAAGATTCGATTCCTAGATTTTTAGCGGCCAAATTTTAAATTATAAATTCTACGAATATTATAAAATAGATTTTAGTAGCAAAAAAGTTAAAGAATCAACGTTATCGTCAAGTTCAATTATAAAAAAAAGACCGTCACAAATTACGAATTAGCAAGAAAAATAGCCCTTTACGATAAAATCAAAACGAACTATTCTTTTTTAAGTTTATTTGTAATAAATTTTTATTTTATTTAAAGTTCGTGAGGGCTTAAAAAAAATATTGAAACAAAATGAAAACTCTATTACCAAGATTTTTTACACGAGGAAAATTTCTATCTATGTTAAAAAATGCACCAACCAGAAAAACAAAACTTCTGCTATATTTGATTCTACTATATTTGATTTTACAAGGACTGACGAGACGTTGCAGCCTTTCATCAAAGAAACTCCGAAGAAAGTAGCTCGACTCTATCATTTTTTTTTGACTATGCGACCTTTAAAAAAATTTTCGGATACAATTGCATATGTCATCACCTTCCGCTTGCTTACTAGTGAGTAAACTACAAGGCAAAAAATGTGTAAAGATTTTTGAAATTATGACTTAACGAAGCGCTTGCAAAACTTCGCTATGAGAGTTAAGTTGTTTATTGGTTTTCATACACATATCAATTTCATAAAAATATAACGTCGTCGGACCTATTTAATCGACAAGAAAAGTTGAAGGTCAGTTATAGGCCGTTAACCTTTTCCCTATCCATTCAGAAATTCGCAATGAACAATTGACGTAAACCACGGAACCTTGAAAAAAGGACAAAGCACTGTCTATAAAAACAAGTCATGAATATTAATACTTCTAAGAAATGTTCGCATGTATCAAAGGAAAATGAGTTCACTACTTCATCATAATAAAATATAATGAAATATTTAGAAAGAATCTAGGAAAAATTCTAAACGATCACCTACTGCAATTCGTCTTTGGCTCCTAAGAAAATGATTAGTGTGATTAGATAGAGGAGGGGAAAATGATGAATAACACATGTGGGGTAGGAGAAATAATAGGAGAAGTAATGAAATCATAAATGAAGGAAGAAGAGAAAATAAAAGAAAGGTAGAAGAAGAAGGGAAGAACAAGAAAGAAAATTCGAAAGAAAAAATTTTTTTTTTCAAAGAAAAAGAGACTTTTTTTTTTTTTGGAATCGAAAACTCAAATAAGCCAATGAACATGATCTTTGCAATTTACATTATTGTCCACAGTGATCTTTAAAATTCGAATTAAAATCGGAAATTTGATTGGTTTGGTTTATACGTCTTTAAACAAAAATAAAATTGTTAAAAAATATTGGTCAGCTTTGGGTCTTTTATCAAATTTTTAAACGTGAGTATTCGGTAAAAAGAAAAACAAAAAATTTTTTTTTTTGTATTTCATCTTTGGTCGCTAACCAATCAAATGTTTTACTTAATATCACAGTTTGAATACCCTGCTGGCGAGCAAAAGTTTTCAAACTACTCCAAAAATGATGAATCGGAAAATTCGGGAAGGGTTACTTGAATGTTATAAACGAAGAATTTGAAAGAAAATCACAAACTTAGAAATTTTGAATATAATATGCTTAAATCTGGAGGGTAAGTCAAAAAAAATGAAATTAAATGAAATTAAAACAAGCAAATATTTCAAATTTTAATAAATTTGAACGATTATTCTATTTAGGAGTATTGCATGGTGCTCGTTACAGATCATATCGATACCCTTTTGATCGGGTATTTGGATTTAATTCTTACGGAAATTTTTTCCTCAAATGAGCATCCATACTATCCATACTTAAGAAATTATTGGATTTTGTAACGAAATTCATGAATCTCACGTCAAAAAATAATTGACCTGTAAAGCCGTAGAAGTTTTGTATGTTACAAGGAAATTCTGCAGAGAGACAGATCGAAAATATGGTAACTACTTTTTGGGGTCTTTTTTTTTCTCTTTCAAATAGATTTCATTCTTCATTTATGTAACGCGCGTATTTTATTTAAATAGATTAAAGTGAATTTTCACTTTCGACGTTCCAACCTAAAACTTGAATCTTCATCTCATTTTAATCGAGAACCTATTCAACAAGCCACATCTCCCACAACCCCTACTTTGGCAAATATTTCAATGTTATCAAAAACATAAACAAAAAAATCGATTTCAATGCATTCGCAATGCTGCTATTGTAATTAATTCTAATTTTTGTGAAATTCCAACCAAAGTAACGGCGAATATCCAAAAGATTCGTGAAAAACTAGAATCTAGTTTACGTGATCGTATTGTGGATAATGTGAACAAATTGATGAAAGAGAAAACTACGATCTTCAAGAAATTAAAGAGAATAAAGAAAAGCAATATAATGAATTGTCAGAGGATAAGTTTGATAAAGATGCGTTTTTACTTGATTTTAAAAAATTATTGAAAGAAAGAGAAGAATTAAAGAAAGAATCAAGTTTGAACAACTTGCCAGATAACTGAAAGAAGTAATTCTGAACAGGACTCCTTACGTAATCATAAATTTGCCAAGTTTTTTGAAGAGAATGAAAATAATAAGTATGTGGATACCCCTCGAGGCAAAGGCAATTTAGACATTGTAGAAGTTGAAGGAAAATTTCCATATAAAGAAATTACTACTAATATTACAATCGAAGCAAATGAGATTAATGATAATATTTCACCTTATGTCCTTTGATAAAGTTAAAGAAATTCATCAAAATAATAAAATTTCTAATATTTCAAACGAAAAAAATCGAACACAATTTTGAAGAAGTTGAAGGAAAGCATCCAAATAATAAAATTAATTTTACCCCTTCTAATATTACACAATGATAATATTTTTTTCATCTAAAGAGAAAGTGAAGATCATGAAGTAGGTGAAGTAGGTAAATATATTACCATTGAAGAAGTTGAAGAACTTCTTAAGCATCAAAACGATTTGGATGACAAATGCTGTCATATTAAAAATGCATTATTTAAATATAAAGAGATGTAGTTGAAAATGCATCTGCAGATAATAATACTGTGAAAACAAGATCTTTTAAATTAAAAAAAGTTGTAAATTTTTGTGTATACATTTTTTTAACATAATTAATAATTGCTATTTGTATTATTATTCTTTTTACTATTTTTTTTTTGTTTGTAAATTTTTTTAGTACAAATAAAATCAAAGTATTTAATTTAATGAGTGATAAAGTGATAAAGAGATTGGTATTAATTTATTGTATTTTCTTTGAAAAACTAGTATCCAAGTGTCCATTTAATTCTTAAAACTTCTTTTTTTGAGTTAGAGTTAAATCTGAACTTATTTTACTAAAAAAAAAACTCATATTTAGCATATGAAGCTATCATTGTAAATAGTGCTTTCATTCACGAATCTGCTTTATATTTTTTTGTGGAATTAGGAAGGCTTCTTTTCGCTTTTCTTAGTTATCTGTGATTGAAAATTTGCCTTCTGACTTGCTAAGGTAATATATATGAATAATTTTTTTTTTCTCTTTTAACTACCTTCTAATATTGACAAGAAGCTATCACTGGTCATGAATTTCTTTAAGCCGATGACAAATATGAAGAAATTTAAAGGATGAATTATCAAAACTACTACTAATCTCTAAAACTTTAGCTCCAGAATAGAATCATTACTAATGAGTTTTTAAAAAAAATTAATCCTATGAACATTTTGAATTATTACCGCCTTCAAAAATTAGTTGATTGCATCAATTAATAAATAAAATTTTTTTATTAATTTTTTTAGGTTTTTTTCGGCTCTTTCGTCTCAGACCACAGAAATCGAATGACTTGACTTTGATTTTTCCGATATCGATATTTGGCAAAATACAAGATCTAACGGAGACTTCATAATTTTTTTTATTTTTAATTTGATCAAGGATCTCGATACGATGAGGTTTTTAGTTTAATTTTGTTTTTGCATTTGTTTTAGTTTTCGATTTTTTTTTTTTTGACCAATGTATCGTTTAATTTTACGATTAACTTTTTTTTATGCCACATCTACTGCACTAATAAAATAGATTCGATTTTTTCATTCGATTTTCGATTAATTTTGTTTTGATAGAATCGATTCCAAACCCTAAGCTATATGCAATTTTCATATTAAAAGTTCTAATTATTTCAGTTCGATTTTGCGACAAATTTCTATTTTCAATAATTTTTGGCCAGATTTATCCTTTAAATTTGTTTCGTGACAAATATTCAAAAAATTGTTTTCGACGCGTTCCCGCGTTAAATTAGAAATTGTTTTTCGTGTATTAAGAAAAAACTTTCAAATTTAATTAAGATTTCTAAAACAATTGTGTCTCATTTTCTGGATCTTGATTACAATAAGTTTCGATATTTTATTACAAATTCGCTGTCAGGAGAGAATAGTTCATCGTAGTATATATAAATTAAGTTATAAATAGATAGTAAATGCTTTATATGAGATTTCCCTTCATAAAAAGTATGATAAACTCGTAAAATTCACCTTCAACGATCTGATTTTTTTTTGATTCGAAATTGGTAAGTAATCCGCTCTTTAATAAGTGTTGACAATGACTAACAACTAGTTGTTTTTTTTACAATACTAATTACATTCAAAAAACAATCTTGAAATATGAAATTTAATATGATAAATGATGACATTATATAAACTTCTCGCAAATACGACATATTCCATATCTTAATATGGGATCAATTCTACAATAATGATAAACCCATACGGCATGGACCGATAAATTGTACCACCTTCTCTACATAACTACATAAAGTACATAACTTTTTGCAAATCGGGTTTCACCTTGACATCAGTTGCAAAACCAAGACATTCTGAATCTCTATCGTTCCAATTTTCACCTCGCGAATGAAACCTGGCCCTAGAACAAACTAAATGTGCATAATATACTGGTGGGACTATAGAAATAGCACGTGTGCATCGCACATTTGAATAACATAAGTTGTATGACAAGGTTTGAAGTGAATCTGGATCAAATTTGTTTTCATCATGCAATACGTAATAATGTGTTGGAAGTGAAGTTCCTTGCGTTGCAGCGTGACTCTGAAGATAAAAGTCGAATTCGAAAGGAGTTATTGTTGATTCAACAACCGTACCAACAAGACAGTTTCCTGCCCTATCTGAGTGTCGCTTAGCCATAGGAAAAAAGCGAGTGTGATGACCTTTCTGAACAACTACATAGGTTATGGTTGGCCTATAATTCACATTAAGTGATGAACATGCATCTGTTTTTAAGAAAATGTAAATAATTGTGTGTATGTTGTAACTTTCAATCTCATAAATTACTTTAGAAAAGGTATCATACCTCTTATTGCTTTGACTTCAAAAAACATTTGATGAAATTGACCATCCGAAACACCATGTCGATAGAACAATATACGTTCTGGACTCCTTCCACATGTCTGGTAGAAGGTTTTCAATAGCTCCTTTACCATATCTACCAAGTCAGAGATGATTACTGGTTTACCTGTTTGGACGCGAGTAGTAGCGGCATAGCGATATGCTTTTGCATCCATTGAAGCGCATAGAGCAGCAATGGATGGGCAAGTTTCATCACCACCAGGAGTACGATGTGCACCCATTATGATTGTCGGGCGTTCCGAAACAAATTTCATTTGGTTCGGTTCAATGAATGAATTCATACCACCAAGTTTAACATTCATTTTAAGACATAAATTGGCGCAATATTGTTTTTTTGCTCGATGAACATGCTTGACTTGAGCGCATTGAGTAGCAACACCAATTACTGTATCACACACACGTTTGATTTCGGCATATAACGGTGCGCCGGAGTTAGGAAGGATGCATAAAATTAACTGAGGTGGTGATCTGGCTACATTACCAGCTTTAATCCAGGCTTGCTTCAAGGTTTGTTCAATGTTACCTAGAGGATTACCTCGCATAATTGGTGGATTTTTATTAGGGAATACTATTCCAATGTTCTGACATGTATCAATCAATTCTTTGATAAAATGTTGTATAGCTTGAATTTCTAAATTTCCGAAAGCAACGCATGACCATGAACCAAGTGTGACGCCAGTAGTAACCTTTTTATTAATTAAATTCCATGACCCGTTCCTTGGAACAAATGCAGAGTCACGAGAAGAAGGATGATATCGTAAAGTTGGAGCAGGTAATACTCTGGCTGGAACCACAGCCATTTCCTCAGATACATTCAAACCAAATTGTCTCATATACTCGTTTTCTCGATAATCAAGAATTTCTAAACCTTGTATAATTTTATTTGCACGGACACTGGGTCGTTGAATTGTAAACTTTGTCATATCTGCTGCTTGCCTATAGTTCAAGCTGCGAATATGTTGTCCCTAAAATCGAATTTACAATTAGCAATTATTTTATTTTATTTATCTCCTTTCTGCTTTAAAAAAAATGTGCATGTGTTACCTCAACTAATTTACAGACTTCCATTGGTAATGACACATCTATCCTGGTGACAACGCAAGGAAGAGATGGAAACTGTAGAGACATGTTGAACGTATTTTGAAAGTATGAAGCAATGTCTATGCTACTACCATCAAAATCAAATCTAGTATTTGACGCCGAAGTGTTAGTTAACTTAATAATCTTATACGTGCGTTCGGAACCATCTCCACGTTGAGTAACATGAATCTTTAAACCTTTCAAAGCCTTTTCAAGTATTAACCGATCCCTATCTGTGATTCCTCTTCTTAGGTCATCAAGTTTACGGTCGAGTATCTTTGCAACCATAAGAACCAAATCGCCACTTTCATAAAAATGAGCTGCGCTCACATCAATATTTATCATCATACTTCCAGGCTTAGGCCTTATGGTTTGACGATATCCTTGCCAAATTTCTAAACCACTAAAGCAAGCTTGTGAGATTTGGTTGGTATAAAATAATCGTCCAATTGCTTTACAAGTCAAGAATGGTTTTTGACGAATTAATACATTAAGAGCCATAATTCCTAATTAACATAAAGAATAAAAAATTATTGATTAATGATAAAAATATTGTAATCAAAAATTATAACAATTATAAACAATTAACCTGTTAAAATGTTCGACGATGATTTGCATCGTCCGTTAAGGAATTTATGGATTTCTTTCATATTAATTACATTGACCTTCCTAATGATGATCTCAAAAGTACGTGGCCGCAGAGTGTTTGGAAGTTCTGTAAGGCATATAGTGTAAGTGGCCTTTTCGCCAAAAGGTAAAGGTCTAGTAGTAAACATGTTCTTAGCTCCATCGAAAACAAGTTTTATATCACCAGCATGTAGGGTTTCAAACTGAGAAAAAATTCTTCTTTTCAGAATTGATGATTGAACATGCGGAGTAATTAAAACTTCATAATAATGGATATTTGAGTCAGTTAGAGTGGTTATTTCGAAAAAGTTTGTTTTAACTTTTATATGGCGACCAATATGACCAAAAACTGGACGTTTGACAACGTTTGATATGATGTTTGACATAATTTTATAAAAATGAGGAAAATTTTTTCAAACAAAAAATTTGGCGCTACCAAATATGTTTAAAAGCAAGGATCTACGATTCTTTCACATGCAGATTGAAATTCGATAAGATTTTAAATTGATTTTCCAATTTAATCAAAATGCTTATTCTTTTATATGTTTCTTCGATTTTATCCTTCTCTTCAATAAGAAATGTCAACGAATTTGAAATTCATTTACAAAAAAAAAAATTTTTAATTCCTGATTGACAAATTATAAAAATTTATTTATAGTGCTTTTAAAACGATCCAAAAAGGAATGTGAAACAATTTTTTCAATTTATTTTATTTAAATTTGTAATGAAGCAAAAGTAAATAACTTGTAAAATAATCCATTCTTTAATGATTCTGACATGGTCAATGTATTTTATAATCGGTTAAATTTGGATTTCGATTTAATGCAACAGATTCCTTGCCTTGCATACATCTTCTAGGAATAAATAAATGCACATAAATATGGTTTAAAATCGAATAATTTCATTATTTATGAAGCATTAAGCATATTAGGAAATTTTCATGCTTTAAGTTTTAAGCCATCTTATAAGTAAACACCAATGAGTTTAGTTTAAGTCATGTGTGAATACGAACTTTAAAGTCGATCACAGGTCGCCTTGTGTCGTCATTAACTGATAGTTATAGAATCTATAAATAAAATTTTGATTTATTTTGCGTTTTGCATAATAATTATTTTTTTTTCGAAGGGAGGCCTGTTACCTATATCGAGGTATTATGTGTCTATATTGCATTACTTTGTTTTATTTGTTTGTACATAAGTTCACTGATAAACAATCCAATATTAAAACAAAGTCACTTTATTGCATTATTAATATCTTTTGTGACTTTGCATTCGATTTTTTTCATTTTGACTAATATTGACTACAACGATCTTTTTAATCCTTTTATGGAAAACTGCTATTTTATTTGCATCTGCTGCCGCAGTGAAGTTTACGCGAAATAAAACAACAACAGTACGGATCCTTACAAACTGGCCAATAAGGTTAGAGTATGTGACATTTGAATATTTATCACGGATATAGAATGGTTTTATTTACAATGGCGCAAGAATTATTAATATTCATTGAAAACAGTTGCCCGATTTGGCCAATAAAATATTCTTTTTTTGCTGATCACGAAATTTATTGGTCGCCTTTTTTTCAAAATTTCTTTATTTTAATTAAATATACAGTATGTATATATATACATTTTCGGAACGAAAGATATAAAACTTTTTGTGCGAATGGATTTCCGTGGCTAAACTGTTAAAAGTTGATCAAAATAAACACATTACACAAATTTTGTTTTAAAATGATTCGGCATGGACTTGAACAAAATATGTTCCCTGCCTTCTTTTTCCTAATTCTCCTAATTTTTTTTCCTCCTTTTTTTACTTTCTTTAAAACTTCCTTTCATTATTCACCTCACTTTTGTCGTTGAGAGTTATTAAAATGGGAGGCACGTCATCAAAGTCTCGAAAGAACAAAGCAAACGAACCATTAAGTTACGAACCGGATGTTAAAAATGAAAATCCATTTGCAAGATACTATTTACCATTAAAAACAGGCGATATTGACATCATGCATTTAGTTCATTTTTATTATAGATATATATGGGAGGGTTGTTTTTCTGTTCCATTAGAAGCAAAATTGATGGAAGGAGGAGTCAAAGTATTAGATGTTGGGTAAGTTTATTATCACAAATGAAAGGTCTCTCTTTTGTTTTCAATTTTTTTTTTTAACAAAAGTTATAATTTTTCAGCTGCGGTGCGGGAACATGGCTGTTGGATTTATCAACTCAATACAACTATAGTAAATTTGTTGGTATTGATATAATGCCAGTATTTCCAGTCGAGGTAAAAATTTATTTGATTTAAGGAGAAAATAATTATCGCATATGATAAATTCGTACCGAAATCTTTTTCATTTTTCTAACAGATAAAACCCGAGAATCTTGAATTTGTCGAAGGTGACGTGTTAAAAGGTTTACCTTTTGATGACAACACATTCGATTTTGTTCATCAAGAAACGATGGGATTGTCATGGACATTAGACAATTGGCCATTTGTCATATCTGAAATTATAAGGGTAACAAAACCAGGCGGTTATATGCAATTTAGTGATCCTGACGTAGTTTCTTACGGTCCTATACTAGGTAGATTCTTTGAATCAAGTATGTGTTATTATTTTCTTTCTTTTTATTTTAACAAGAATAAATAAAAATAAAACAAATAACTTTATTTTAGTGAGAGACGTTTGTGAACTAAGAAACGTTGACGGATATTATATAAACACGTTAGATAAGGTATTAGAAAATTATGGTGAAGTAACGAATATATGTAAAGATTCAAGAGATGCGATTATGTGTGACGCGTTTGGTGGAAAGGTAGGTAATGTATGGTATGATATAAATCATATGGTATTTACTAAAGATGAGATTGCCGAAGGATTATCAGCTTTTATGAATATTACTAAAGAGGAATATTTTAAATTATGGAACAAAGTTGAACAAGAAGCAAAAGAATATAAGTCTGTTACTCTATTACACAGAATTTGGTGTCAAAAGAAATAATCGATATAAAATTTTTATTCCTTTTTTTTATTTTGGGCAAATTTCATAATTATTATTCATTGTCGATATTACTATTTCTGTATGTCCCTTAGAATGTAGAATTTAATTTATAGAAGTACTGTGCAGTACATAATTAATAAAATAGAAAAGATTTACATACGAAAAAAAAAATAAATAAATAAACAAACGATCGAATAATTAAAATGAACGCATACAGCTGATCAGGGACCTAAGCAATATATTTATGTAAATCGTTCTTTTTTTTTTTAGATGGCACTGGTCGGAGATTTAATACAAATATCGTAATTCAGGCCCCGGAAGGGTGCATAATTTAGGTCTTTATTCCCCTGACCTTTCTAAATGTATTTTTCGGGTTCCAAAAAAATAAAAAAAAAGCTAAGCCGAACGCATGTAATTTTGGACGGACAGACATGCATAATTCCATTTACACTGGATGAAATACAGAACGATCTACAAAGATCAGCTTATTATTGTATTGTTTGTATGTTTTGGGTCTGGATCAATCAAATCAATTCAATAATCTTTTTTTTTTCTAAAAAAAAAAAAAAATAAATAAATAAATTTAAATAAAATTAAAAAAAGGTTTGAAAATAGTGTTTCAATTATGTCAAATGATGATATTTTAAGATATGATTGCAGTTACGGTATGATAATTTTCAACAAAAAAAAAAATAAAATAATTTTTAACAAAAGCCTCAGACGCCTGTTTTTGGAACACAAGAATTTATCGACCATTTTTACGAATATGGACAGAGTTATTCAAAAAACGAGTTAGTATGAAAATCAAATTCTAAGATGATCCATCTTTCCTTTAAATAATCACAATTTCAGGATTGATCTGCGCCATAAACAAAAATTCTCTGCGAAAAAAAAAAAAATTTTCCGGCAAGCCAGATTTGAACTAGCGACCTAGAGATGACAGGTTGAGATTTGTTTCTCACTACAGTCTCCCGCTCTACCAACTGAGCTATTGCCGGTTTTCGTTGTTTGAAGGAATTTTAGATAGATCAAGAAACTATCTCCTTTTTCCTGAATTAAAATTTTTTTTAAATTGGGAAACAATGAAAGACTCTTCCAATATTATATTAATATCTTGATTTACAGTTTAAATTTCTTATGTAATCTGTTCTGTAAGAATTTTTAGGTATGGTAAAAAAATTTTTTTTTAAGAATTTCAATTTATTTACTCGCTTGTTATCACGTGATTTTACAATTTAATGTTTTTTTACAAGGCAACATAAAATGAAACGAAATAAATGATTTTCAAAAGAGATATAAAATTTTCAAATATTCTACACGCGATTGCAATCTTTATTATTACAGATTCTTGATAAAGTTGTACTGCGCTACATTCCTTTAAAAAATTTATTTTTAAGGGAAATTATGTTATCTTAAACTTTTTTATTATATATAGTAAGGAGATTTTAAAGAAGTTGCTTACCAAATAATAGAGCGGCTCAATTAGTGACATGATAAAGTCGCACATAATTTTGTAATGCTAAGCTAATCAAAATATAAATTTAATGATGATCATCATTCGATGTTTACCAAAAAAAAGGAATTGATAAAGAATACTGTATCAACTAAAAATTAGTCAAATAAAATTTTCACTTTATTTTTTATCATCCAATCCACTCTTCTAGCCAATTATAATAATATATTCTTCGATTGGTCTTCTTTCAGGACCACAAAATTTTATTTATTAAATTTTGCAATATCAGGATAATTATTTCACGTTCTAGAATTACATATATTTTAAAGATAAGGTTATGGAATATTATTAAATGCAGGAATTTCAAATATTCATTCTCACATAATAATGGCAAAATCATAATTCGTCATGTAAAACTTCAAATTATATACAAACTTATTAAACCCAATTACATTTCAGAGGGGTTCCGGTATATTTTGTAGATTGTGCACGTACTAGTTACGTCCCGATTGGATCTTTAATCAATCATATTAATTTTGATCGCATTTATAAATTTGTAATGTGATCCAAGCATCGTGACCATCATTTCCCTATAGGCTTAAAATCATATGTTTTAGACTTCATTCGTAATATTCACTTCGACAACAAGACCTTTCTTTGTATGCTAAATATAGACCTGAAAATAAATTTGGCATATGAAGTTGAATTTAAATATTCCGGACAGATCTCTTTGGTTTATCCACGACGCGGGGAATATTAGCATTATTTCATTTTAATAATTTGCAACTATATAAAAAACAAAAAAAAAATACCGATTCGTAATGATGTGATGTAAGGAATGTGACATTTCTCTTTTTTTTATTCGTTAATCATACAAAATTTGGTCGCTACCGAACGCATGTAAGTCTGAATTGTATATTATAACTTTGTTCTTACCATAAAATTTAATAGAATGTTCTTTTAATTTCTCTTTTTAATAGTGTTATAAGATGTAGAAGCTAAAAGTAGAAAGATTAAGATGAAGAAATATATCATTTTAGGATTCATTATTCAGGCTAGCGAGATTATGCACATCAACTTAAACGCACGTGAAAAATCATTGTAGATCCCGTTTTTACTGTAAATGCCAAAATTTTTTGGAAAAATAAATTTCTTTTAACCCTTGTTTTTACAAAAATGGTTGAAAGGAATAAAATTACAAAATTTGTTGAACGTCCTGGCTTAGGTCGTATTGGTCGTCCTATAAAAGTTAGAGCAAACTTTTTTGAAGTAACTTCTCTAACTGACTCAAATATCCATCACTATGACGTTATAATCACACCGGAAGTTCCTCCAACTTTGAATAGAAGAATTTATTCTGAATTTGAAACTTTATATGCTAATGGTATTAATCCCGTATTCGATGGTCGTAGGAATATTTTTGCTGCTAGACCGTTACCTTTTGGCGATACGCACACTTTTGATATATTTCTTCCAGATGATGCCGGTTTATCAACTGCTTGTCGACCTCATTTTAAGCTCATCATTAGGAAGGTCAATGTAATAAATTTGAATGAACTTCATAAATTCCTTGACGGACGATGCAGATCATCACCGAACATTTTAACAGGTTAATTGGTTCTAATTGTTATAATTTTTGATTACAAAATTTTTATAATACTGTAAATCAATAATTTTTATTTTTTGACGTTAATTAGGAATTATGGCTCTTAATGTATTAATTCGTCAAAAACCATTCTTGACTTGTAAAGCAATTGGACAATCATTTTATACCAACCAAATGTCACAAGTTTTCTTTAGTGGTGTAGAACTTTGGCAAGGATATCGTCAATCCATCAGGCCTACACATAAAAAAATGATGATAAATGTTGATGTAAGCGCTACTGCTTTTTATGAGAATATTGATTTAGTACATATGGTTGCAAAGATACTTGGTCGTAATCTTAATGATCTAAGAAGAGGAATCACAGATAGGGATCGGTTAAAACTTGAAAAGGCTTTAAAGAACTTAAAGATTCGCGTTACTCATCATGATGATTATTCCCGACGCTCGTATAAGATTATTAAGTTAACTAATACCTCGGCGTCAAATACTAGATTAGATTTGTTTGATAGAAGCATTGATATTTCTTCATACTTTCAAAATACGTTCAACATGTCTCTACAATACCCATTCCTTCCTTGCGTTGTCGTCCAAAGGGGTGTATTTTTACCGCTAGAAGTATGTAAAGTAGTTGAAGTACGTATTATATGCAAATTTTCTTTAAAGCTGAAATAAAACGAGCATATATTTTTTTAAAAAAAAAAATTAAATAAAATAAATAGGTGCTAATTGCAAATTTATTTATTAAGGGGCAACATTATTTTCGCAGATTGAACGAAAGACAGACAGCAGATATGATAAAGTTTACTATTCAACGACCCCGTGTACGTGCAAATAAAATTATACAAGGTTTAAAATTTCTTGATTATCGAGATAATGAGTATATGAGACAATTTGGTTTGGATGTATCTGGGAAAATGGCTGTGGTTCCAGCCAGAGTATTACCTGTTCCAACTTTGCAATATCATCCTTCTTCTCGCAATGCTGCATTTGTTCCAAAAATGGGGTCATGGAACTTACGCGATAAAAAAGTTGCTATAGGGGCCACGCTTGGTTCATGGTCATGCGTTGCTTTCGGAAATTTCGAAATTCAAGCTATACAACATTTTATCAGAAAATTGGTTAACACATGTCAGGACACTGGAATGAATATTCCGAATAAGAATCCACCTATTGTCCTAGGTAATCCACTAAGCAATATTGAACAGGTCTTGAAGCAAGTCTGGGTTAAAGCTGGCAATATGGCTAGATCACCACCACAGTTAATTTTATGCATCCTTCCTAACACTGGTGTACCATTGTATGCCGAAATCAAACGAGTCAGTGATACATTAATTGGTGTCGCTACACAATGCGTTCAATCCAGGCATATTTTTCAGGCAAAAAAACAATATTGCGCCAATTTATGTCTTAAAATGAATGTTAAACTTGGTGGTATGAATTCATTCATTGAACCAAGTCAAATACCATTTGTGTCGGAGCGTCCGACTATCATAATGGGTGCAAAAGTTACACATCCTGCTCCTGGTGGTGAGTCTCGCCCATCCATTGCTGCTCTATGCGCTTCAATGGATGCAAAAGCATCTCGCTATGCCGCTTCCATTCGTGTTCAAGCAGGTAAACAAGAAATCATTTCTGACTTGTCAGGTATGGTAAAGGAGCTATTTAAAACCTTTTTCCAGACATGCGGAAGGAAGCCAGAACGTGTTTTGTACTATCGAGATGGTGTATCAGAGAATCAATTTGAACAAGTGTTGGAATTTGAAATCGAAGCAATAAAATGTGATGTTTCATATTTGTTTTTTAAAAAGTAACTCGTAATTAATGAATTGTTCAACATACTCACATTTATTCAAAACAGGTGCATGTAAATCACTTGATGTAAATTATAAACCAACCCTGACCTTTGTGGTTGTACAGAAACGTCATCACACTCGCCTTTTCCCTATGGATAAGAAAAATTCAGATAGAACAGGAAACTGTCTTGTTGGTACGGTTGTGGAATCAACTATAACGCATCCTTTCGAATTCGACTTTTATCTTCAGAGTCACGCTGGTTTACAAGGAACTTCGCGTTCAACACATTATCACGTATTGCGTGATGAAAACCGATTTGATCCTGATTCACTTCAAACCTTATCATATAACTTGTGTTATACATTTGCTCGATGCACACGTGCAGTTTCTATTGTCCCACCAGTGTATTATGCGCATTTAGCTTGTTCTAGGGCCAAGTTTCATTCGCGAGGTGAAAATTGGTCAGAAAGTGGTTGTTTAGTATCATCTTTTGACATGGTGAAACCTAATTTGCAAAAAGTTATGTACTTTATATAGGAAATGACACGAAATGGGTTTATCTTCAATTTGTATATATTCCTTTATATGTTTATTTATAGAAATATTTTATGTATAAGAATTAAATACAATATATCCTGAATAAGTATATTTTTATAGTATTATAATTTGCGGTTGTAACCTTCAAGCCTTACTGATTATTTTGAAAAAATAAGCAATGAATTAAATAACTAATTGTTAGTCATTATCCGATACAAGTCCCGCAGCTATGCTGATGGATTAAGAGTTAAGAATCGAAAAATATACCTTAATGATCTCTATTTGACATTTGAAAGTCTTTCTTGACGATAACCATAGATTATTAAGTATAATATTAAACCAATTATTCTCGTTTTGTTAATCTTACCCGTCTGGGTGTTGTCCTTGCTTTCTTGCTTCCTATTCAAATACTGTCCATTCTCCATTGGCTAAAAAAATAATATAATAGTTATTCATTAATATATATAAATTTATAAATTATAAATTATTTAATAGGATCCGTATAAATTATCAAAACTCGTACTCCCGACAAGCTATAAACCCGACTATCCCAATGATCACATGATCCCGAACGAAACAATTAAAGATCTAAATTTTCGGATTTATATATTACACTTCAAATATAATTAATGAGATTTATTTATTATCCTCTTAAACTCTTATTATTTTATTTTTATTAAGTTTAATGTTATAAATTTAGAAATTTAATTTACTACTTAACGTAATGCGTCATAAATTATTTATACGGACAGCTTCAAAACCTTTCTTGTTCAATATTTCAAACTATGGAGTTAATGGATTTGGCATGGAAGTTGTTGAACGGGTATATGTAAAGAAGAATCGCACAATTTAATTCAGTCCTTCAAATTAAATACAATAACTTTATCACAATCACGCCCGTATGAATACACAGCAAAAGGTAATAGTAAATGAATATCTTTATTGAACTCTTGTATTTTCCCTTGAGTTGAAAGATAACTCAAGATAGTGTTTTGGAAATAAACCATGATATTTATATTAATAATATAATATAATAAATATGTCCTATATAATATACAAGATAAATATAACTAATATAATCAATAAAAAATAAACCCATCTAATATTACAAAACTTATTAAGTTAACAAATATACTAAATATTATAAACATCATCAGTTAGAAAAAATTATTTACCTTTGCAAAATTCCAAATTCATTACAACTTTTTAAAAAAACATCACGCAGATTTTTGACAGAATGGGGACCACAAAGATCTATAAAGTCAAGTAAATTATCTTGAAGTTTCCAATTTTTAGAAATCCAATGTACTGTAATTGCTAAAAAAGAATAACCATTTGTGGATATCCATGCATCTAAAGCAAATGAAATCCTTCCAGATATATTCTATTAAAATATAATTAAAATAATTATTTTTTTTTATTTGCTCTATTTCAAAAATTTCCATTATATCTTTTTTAGCTATATCTGCTGAAAGAATTAATGCATTGGAATTTAAAAGCTTTATCATTTGTCAAAATTACTTGTTTTCAAGTGTTGTAAATGGTTGATCATCAGTAATTATCCATTTTGAAATAAATTTACGAAAATCTTAAAAATATAAATAAATTTAATAAAAATTAATTAAAACTTTTTTTTTTACAATAAAATACATACATTATTTAAAGTCTCTCCTACTCTTACAAATTCATCTAATGTACTTTGTCCTTCATCTATTAGGTGCTTTTGATTTTTTTGGATTTTTATTTAGATGATAACGCTCTAAATGACGACAAATATTTATTGTATTTGAATCTCCAATCTTGCGAAGCCATGTTTTATGTCCTCTAAAATTTTTTTAAAAGAAATTAGAAAAATAAACTATAATATTCTACATTCTACTCTTTTAGAAATACATACACGCAGTTAAGTCTATGAGTTTTTGAATCTTTATGTTGAGGTGGAAGAATATTCTCTTAAAAAAGGAAAAAAGTTCACTTCGCAATGCCTTTCGTTTTCCAAGAGAAGTTATATTATCAGAATTAGAAAGGCCAATGATTTCACTCATTATTTAATCCGTTACAGAATAAGTCGCGTAACTTGTTGCATTGCGCATCATTATATCATTCGGGTCACCCAGGTCAAGCAAAATCGTGACCCTAACCAGACGGGTTTTAAAAAATTAGGACTCGCGACATAAAAGGATAGTCCCCCGACTCAAATTTTTTCTCGATCCGGGTCGAATGACCCGGGTCGGAGCACTAATTATATTAATAGTAGTTTCGCTTGGACTGTTGAAATTGTAAATTATAAATTAAATGGGAAAAAATTGAAAACACTTTTTAATGCGGAAAACTCTCTTTAAGTTATAAAGAAAAATAATAGCAATAAATTTTTTAAATTAGAGCGTCTATATGTCTAGAAAATAAGAATATTCTATCGAAGGAATAAAGTTTTTAATGTTCTATTTAAACGCAATAAATTATGTAATTCAAAAGTCTATTCGAAATAGACAATTAGAGAAATTTGAAAAGTACATAATAATTTATTAACTGACCTCCGGTCAAACGATTCCGAATTATCCATTCCTGTGAGCTACTAATTCTCGGAAAATATATGATCTACTCTCCCAAAGCTGTTGCTACTACAAAAAAAAAAACTGTTGCATTATTCCTTTCCATCTTTTAAAAACTTCTCGCTTACTCCTCCAATTAATAAAACAATACAACAATAAAAATTTTATATCTAACGAGGTTTGATATGTCATTGAATCTAAGTTTTAGCGAATCTTTGATCAATATTAGGTTAGAAGATGGAGCCGGTTAAAGACTGGTTAAAATTATTGATTTTAATTCTGGACGAGATTTAATTTTTGGCCGCAATTAATATAATTATGTTGTTAGCTAGTTATAAATATTTTTAAAATAAAATATAACTAAATAATAATAAATAATAATACGAATAAAAGATAAAATAAAAAATAAAAAATAAAACGAAATAAAATAGATAATATTTGTTTATAAAAGATATTAATTCAATTGAAAACAATAAAATAAATTATCCACAATTAAAAAAAAAATCTAAAATCCTAAAAACAATTCCTATTTATTATCGAAGAAAGATCCTAAATTTTATAAACAAATTAACCGATACCTTAATTCAACTAGGTATATTCTACGAGTGAAAAAATTAGTCAAAAAGTTTGACTGATAAAATGGTAAGAAAGTTTAGAATTAACCCAATATATGTAAGAATTTATAAAAAAAAAACGGAACTTGTGGCTCACATAATGTTTAGAAGCCGTTTTTGATGTTTTAATTATATTATTTACCAAAATGCTAATATTAGAAACTTCACGCTTAAAATAATTTATTATTAAAAATTAATAAAATGTAAAGTCCTTATTAAAGATTGCTCCCTAAATTATTTTTTAGGCGATTTTAAGTTTATAATCGAGATTAAGCTATTTGTTTTAATAAATATCTTTACCTAAACTTCAAATAAGTTTCCTAAACTCACTGAGTTTAGTCATGAAAGTCACTTTAAAAGGTTTCAAATAAGCGTTCTAAAATTTTAAGCTACACGTTAAAATAGATTTCAAACAGCGTCCTCATTGTGTTATTTTTTTTTTACATTGTGCTTATTAAATTTGTTGAATCAACCTTTCGAAGTTAAAGCAATGAAAAATCTTAATTCCTGCAACGCAATGGATATTATCAAACGAACAATTCAAGTTAAATTGACAAAATTTTTCTTTTATTTAAAAAACAAGAGTATAAATATTAACAATTAACGAAGAAGCGTAATTATCAATCAACATTAAGGATTTTAAAGGTAATACGTATTTTGCGGATTATACTCTAAAGTTTAATAAAATATTATTATAAACAAATGTCCTAAATTAATATGAAGAAAAGACTTAAAATATTTATGATAATGATTGATTCAAGAGTTTACTATTTCCCATCGAATAAATTACCGTCCTTTAAATGTTGCATTTATACCTCTTGTGGAGAAATATTGCGCCACAAATCTGCAGAAAGAAAAAGTAAAATCGGCAAAGTATTTTTATTTTTTTAGATAAAATTTCTTTACGATTAATTTGATCTTATTCATATAAACACTTTGTAGTAGAAATGCAGGAAAATACAAAAAAAAAAAAATATACCATATGCTAATTATGATTTTTTCAGTAAAATAAAATCAAGATTTAAAATTAGCATAAAATGTTTTCTCTATTCAACTGCCATACGTATAAATATATACGCTGGAAATTTAATACGCAAATTTCAAAACCTTTTAATTAAATGAAACCTAAAGATTTCATCCTGCTTGCACATTAGCAAAATTTTGAGTCAAGCATGACTATTTAAATACTGCAAACACATGACGGGAGAAGTATTGACGATCTCCGCAGTACGCAGCCTCCTAGATGCATGAAAAAAGGGTACAAGTGTCATGTAATGATACACAATTTGCATAGCCACAATATAAAATAAGTGTACCACAATACCCAATTTTTATTAAGTTTCCGAAATTCCAAGTTGCATAATTCATTCGATTTTCGATACGATATAAACCCATTTCAATAATATTACAAAAAAAATTTATTGCCCATTAGGAATATTAATTGTTAACTAAAGTGAGAGGTCGCTTTTATATCTAATAATATTTTTTTAACAATAAATACAAGAATGGAATATCAAAAAGCTGCAGAAAATGGAAATGTTAATGCAATGAATTATTTAGCATTTTGTTATGAAAATGGTAAAGGAATAGAATTGGATTTACAAAAAGCCATTTATTGGTATCAAAAAGCTGCAGAAGATGGATATGTTAATGCAATGTTTAATTTAGCATTATGTTATAAAAATGGAGAAGGAATAGAATTGGATTTACAAAAAGCCATTTATTGGTTTCAAAAAGCTGCAGAAAATGGAAATGTTAATGCAATGAATTATTTAGCAGTATGTTATGAAAATGGTACAGGAACTGAATTGAATTTAGAAAAAGCTATTTATTG